GAGGAGGAAGAGGAGGAGGGAGGAGGAGGAGGAGGAGGAGGAGGAGGAGGAGGTAGGAGGAGGAGGAGGAAGGAGAGGAATAGGAGGAGGAGGAGGAGGAGGAGGAGGAGGAGGAGGAGGAGGAGGAGGAGGAGAAGGAGGAGGAGGAGGAGGAGGAGAAGGAGGAGGAGGAGAAGGAGAAGAAGGAGGAGGAGGAGGAGGAGCAGGAGCCGGTGGAGGAGAAGGAGGAGGAGGAGGAGGAGGACCAGTATAAACCCAGGAGTCATCGGCGATTCTGGAAGTAACCCTCCCTCCAAGCTCCCTCTTCATAGGCCCTGCAACGGTTCATTGCCATTGAGGGAACTGCCTCGTTGGAAGGAGGAGGACAACCGTTATAAACCCAGGAGTCATCGGCGATTCTGGAAGTAACCCTCCCTCCAAGCTCCCTCTTCATAGGCCCTGCAACGGTTCATTGCCATTGAGGGAACTGCCTCGTTGGAAGGCAACCGTTTGAAGACCCTCAAGCATGCCAAACACTGTTCTCGGGAGGATCTCAACGCCACGTATCAACCTGACTGCTGCTTGCTGACAGAATCGTGCCAGAGCGTCATTTGTGGGAATTTAAACACCGCGAATTGTCAGGAGGCTCATGGTGGGCAGGGCCGGTGGCGTCCAAACCTATCACCTACCCTCCGAGTCCAGGCAAGAGGGGGAGCAGTGAGCAGAGGCCGTGCCTCCCTGCGCCTCCTCCCCCTGCTTCCTCCCCCCCGTGTCCTCTCTTACTACCTCTCGCTCTCGCCCTGTTCCTTATATCTCTCTCTTTCGTTCCTCGCCCCCCTCCTCGCTCCTCTCTCGCCCCCGTCTGGTCACCCCCTCCCTGAAGGGGCCGCACGGGCGAGTTGCTTTTGGTGCGGCTGGGTGGCCTCATGGGGCCCCCGGCGCGCACGCGTATGGAACGGAGGGCAGTCGATTCAGTCGACGCAGTCAGAGGGAGTGGAGCTTGCTGGTGCGTGTGCCAAGAGGGTGCTCGCGGGTTCGTCTGTGCGCGTCTCTGTTCTGCGAAGGTAACTGCCGTTCAACGGGGGGCATCCAAGAGGACGGATGCCCTTGGCGGAAGGCCGGTGGAAGTGAGTGCGCTGTCGTCGCATCCTGCTGCTTTTACTTTGGGCCCCCGGGGGCCGAAAAACGTGAGCGTGGCATGCCGTAGCGTCTTTGTGCGCTGGTTGTCGTGGCGGTGCCCCTTGCTCGGAAGGATGACGCCTCGAGGCCCTCCGACGAAGCATCGCGTCGCGGCAGAGATCCGCAGTCGATGGCGCAGTGGGCCCCGCGATCGTCCCTCCTCCTCCTCCTGCCCTTGCTCGTGCTCCTCCTGCTTCTCGAAGCTAGCTGTCCGGCGCCATCTCGGCCCAGGCAGCGCGCCAATACGGGATGAGGCCTGGACAAGGCCGCGTGTCCCCAGCCACAGACAGAAGACAGCACTGCACACCTATAGCCAAAGAGAGTCCCAGAAAAGTGGGGAGGTAGGAGGAAGGAAGGAAAAGGGAGGAAGGAAGAGGCACTTGAAGGACGAATGGAGGTAGAGCGATAATCAACATAACGGTTGCACCCGCATAATCCTGAGTCCTTCCAAAACATCATGTCTGGTACGTTGATCATGGGGGTCCGTGAAACTCTTGCAAATTGCTTAAACGAATGTGCGCGGCGCTAAAGCGAGAGCCACCTTTTGAAAAGGAACCGCCCGCAATCCGTGAAGCTCTTGCAATTGTTTCAAACGAATGCGGACGGCGCTAAGGAGAGAGCCACATGTTGAAAACGACCCGCCCTCAATCCGTGAAGCTCTTGTACCTATTGTCAAACGAATGTGCGCGGCGCTAAGGCGAGAGCCACATTTTGAAGACGACCCGCCCTCAATCCGTGTATCTCTTGCAAATGTTCAGACGAATGTGCGCGGCGCTCAGGCGAGAGCCACATTTTGAAAGCCACCCGCCTTCCATCTGTGAAATTGTCTGCAATTCAAAACGAATGCGCGCGGCGATGAGGCGAGAGCCACATTTTGAAAACCACCCGCCTTCCATTTGTGAAACGGCTGTCACTTGAAACTGCTGTCACAGCCGAAACGCCCAGCCCGCCCTAAAAAAAGGTTTCGGGGTGCGACAGGGAGAAGTTGTCTATAAGGACCAGGAATGGAGGAGGAGGAGGAGGAGGAGGAGGAGGAGGAGGAGGCGGGGGAGGAGGAGGAGGATGGGAGGAGGAGGAGGAGGGAGGAGGAGGAGCAGGAGGAGGAGGAGGAGGAGGAGGAGGAGGAGGAGGAGGGGGACGAGGAGGAGGAGAAGGATGAGGATGAGGAGGAGGAGGAGCAGGAGGAGGAGGGGGAGGGGGAGGGGGAGGAGGAGGAGGAGGAGGAGGAGGAGGAGGAGGAGGAGGAGGAGGAGGAGGAGGAGGAGGACTTCGTGCCCCACGACAGCCTCATGGTGGGCGACCCCCCGGCCGCGCTCGCCCCGCGCGCGGCGCCCCAGGAGCAGAGGCCGAGGACGACGGCGGCGGCGAGGGCGTGGAGGCGGCCCCGGGAGGGCGGCGCCCTTCGAGCCAGTCGGGGCGCCAGAGACGGGGGTCACAGGAAAAGGTACCCATACCTCTACCTTTCGGCCGTTTCCCCTTTTTGGGGCCTCCTCGCAGGCTCTCGTCGCCACCGCTGGATTCGCCTCGAGATTCTGGTCAGAACGCACCCCAGGAGAGGTTCGGGGAGCAGCGGTATCGGTACCTTTTGGTTTCGCCAGGAGCGGCTGGACTCGGCAATGGAGGTCTAGCAGTGGCGAAGCGTCCTGGCGTGCCTATAGGCCTGCCAAGCAATGTTCTGGGAACCTTTCTTGTGGTTTCCACGGAGTGTTCTTAGAGCATTCCTGGCTGGGAGTGTTTTTTTTTTATCACATCGGGCTTACGTTCTAAGAACATCGTCTTTGTTCTTAGAACATGGGTGGGTTCTGAGAACATGTCGTGGCAGGCCTACAGGAATGCCGGGACGGTCGGTCCCTGCTCAGAAACGGGGGCACGGGGAACGCCGATCGGGCGGGTGATCGGGCGCGTGGTAACCCTGAGATTCTGGCGTCGCAATGTTTGTCACGACGGGCGTTGTCGCTTGATTTCGGGCCCCAGGACCCTCAAATGTCGATCAGGCTCGAAAAACGGTGCAGAGAGATGGGGTCCAGGCTCCGGTCGCGTTTTTGGCGATGCTGCACATATATATATATATATATATATATATATATAGGGAGATTTTCATACATATATATATATATATATATATATATATATATACATGTCTATATATATATACATAAACACCAAAAAACTAATATCAGCAAAGTCGATCTCAAGGAAAAGGACCCTTCAGGGGCCCTTCAGGAGCCCTTCAGGGCCCTTTTTGAAGCCAGCAGGGGCCCAAAGGGAGCTCTCGAGGGGGCTCCTCTGGGGCCCGTCGCTTCACAGCCCGTCGAGGCCATCTCAACTACCACCCGCCCAAGAAGCCGATTACCACGGTTGGCTGTGCCCCCGCTTAGCCCTCGGAACCAGTCGGGGCGCCAGGGGCGGGGCCCACTCGGGCGGGGGCCACGATCCAGTCTGAGGACTTTCTTTCGCGAGCTCGCGGTGCCCAGACCCCCCCCCGGGGTCACGACATGACAAAACATCGCGACCAAAGTGTGCCGCTATTTTCGGCTGGCTTGAGGGGGGGGCCGTTACCAGGCCTCGGGACGATCAAAAAACGACTCAGGATGAAAAACTAATCCAGGGGAATGGGTCCAGACCTGGTAGGGGTCGACGTCATGAAAAAATCATGAGGTCGGGGGTCGGGGTTACCTTGCGTCCTCCACCCTGCCCCCTCCTGATATTTTTCCTCCCTCCCCATACCCCGACTCCATGTGTTCCTCCCCTCATTTCTCCTCCCCGCTTCTCCCCGCTCCTCCCCCTCCCACCGGTCAGGAGCGGGGGTCAACGCAAACGGGGGCACGGCGAATGCCGATGACCACGTTTGGCTGTGCCCCCGTTTAGGGGGCCCTGGGCGCCGTAGGGGGGCATTGCCAACGGGGGCATGTGGGAGAGCCTAAGCCCCCGTTCAAATGCGCCCCCATTTGCGAAGCCCCGAACCAGACCCCCTCGAGCCTGCGCGCTAGCCCGGATCAATGCAGACGGGGATCAGCTAGAGCGCCAGTGCTTGCAGGATCCTGCCAGAGCAAGGGCTGCACTGACCTGGGCTAGCGCGCAGGATCGTGCAGGGTCCTGCAGAGCCTGATTGTCCCGGGTTTGCGCTGACCTGGGTCAGTACATTCCCGTGCCAGACCCCCATCGAGTCGTATTGGAAGCCACTGCCCCTCTGTTGTGAGGCACTTCTATAGAAGGAGGTACAGAGGGCACGGTGTTTACACAGTTGGGGGAAATTCGTACATTCAGTAAGGGTCGGGATTGAGATGCCTCGAAGGCCAAAAATGGAACGACTCAGTCGTACCGTTTTTGACCTTGGGGGCCCTCGCCAGGCCCAGGGACCGTCAAAAAACTGCCCCCGATCGGGACGAAATTCTGGTCCCTGGGCCAAGGGTCCAGAGCCCCAGGGATCCACATTGGGAAAGAACCACGGCGTCGGGGAAGACCTCCCTCGAAGTGCGTCCACGCGTTCCGACCCTTCCCAGAAGCGGCCCGAAAGCCTGTGCTGCGCGGCGCCGGAGAGATTAGTAGAAGGGGACGGGGAGCAAGCAGACGACGGCGAACGCGCAGGTGGGAGGCCAGGGCTGGCAGGACGAAGCAGGAGGAGGAGGAGGAGGAGGAGGAGGAGGAGGAGGAGGAGGAGGAGGGGAGGAGGAGGTAGGGGAGGAGGAGGAGAAGGGGGGGGGAGGGTGAGGAGGAGGGGGAGGAGGGGGAGGAGGAGGAGGAGGAGGAGGAGGAGGAGGAGGAGGAGGAGGAGGAGGAGGAGGAGGAGGAGATTCTGGAGATTCTGCATGATCGCGTAGCGATTGGATGAAATTAAAGATCCGTTACCCTCCGTGGGGTGCGTTGGTCTCTGGCTTCGCGCTCAGCTCGACTGAGGGCCTTAGGCCAGAGTCCCTTGGCGATTCTCCGCAGGTAAGCAACGCCTGTCGGTGTCGGAGCCTCGCACCGACCCCCGAGTTTCCCGAGAAGCTGGTTTGCGTAGGACCCGCAGACGGAACAAAACCAAAGATTCAGCCCAGCGTGGAACCTTAAAGTGTGGGTCAGGTCAACATATCCCCCTGCGACGTGTACCTGTTTCCCAAGAGGAGCCATCATATAGGTGCCATCGACATTACATAGATCGAAGCATTCACTTGCTAGCCACTGGGCCCCTGAGGCCAGCGTGGTAGTGGTCCTACAACGGGTGCACTTGGATCCACAAGAGGCTACAGAGTGCTGGGACTGGAACAGGGCACAAACGCGGGGGGCGGGTGGCCTCTGTGGGGCCACACCTCTCTGCCTCTTTGGGCGAAATTCCCCAGAGGATTGCTCGATATTCCTAGCATGCTCAAGCGCTTCGAGAGATGTGCGGAGCAATCTCATGCGAACTAGAAATGCCTTTTGCTCAATCAATGCGTATTGCTGCCTGTCAGAAGTTGGGATCCTGGCTGCCTGTGCTGCGCCTCCTGCGATCTCGTCCGCCACTGTGTTGCCGTAGGCGAGGGTGGCGGGGATCTTGCCCTGAAAGACATCATGGGCACTCATGTGCGAGGGGATCCATAAGATGGTGAGGGAGCCGCGGCGAGAGGAGATGTTGCGTCCTAGTCGTGCCCACAAGTCAGCGTCGGGTCCGACAGGATTGTCCGTGTGTCCGTTGTGGTAGTTGTTGTAGCAGCCCTCACTGTCAGTGAAGTAGACGAGGTCGTCGGTGATGCTCTCAGCGGCCACTACGAGGGCCATGAGTTCACCACGGATGACGGTCTGTCGGCTGCCCGCGAGGGGCCCCCAAGTTGCGCCCCGTAGTGGCATGTCGTACTTGTTGAGGTCGGCGAAGAAGGCGACACCTATGCCGATCCTCCTCAGGGGAGTGACAGCAGTGTCGGGGCCGCCACTGGCATCGCCGAAGGCGTATGTCGGGCGTCCTCCTACGTGATCCATGCATCCGTCATTGTGGTCGTTGCAGTTGAAATGTTCCCATTGGTCGTGCTGTGGTGGTGGCGGGAGAGCTGTCCACTGCGCAGGTAGTAGGCCTCGCGTCCAGAAGCACTCGAACATGGCCCGTTGGGAGGCAGCCTCTGCACACAGTGTGTTGGAGGCGAGTATGATGTTGTTGGTGCTGTTGCCCTCGCACTCCCAGCAGCGGTGGTAGTCATCCTCGTCACTGGTGCCGCATCGTGGGCATGTAGTGGGAGTGGTGGTAGATGTTTCAGCGGCGACCCTGGTGCGTGTCCACATGGCACCTACTGCGATGGTGAGCATGAGGCTCGCGAGACGTGCGCCGTCTGCGAGACTCTCGAGGTACCGAAGAAGCCTGCGGTAGGAGTAGTTGTCGATCCCCTGCTGCATGCCTTCTCCGCCGTGGTGGGTACTGGCCCGCTGCCATTGTTGGTGCTGGATGCTGGCGTCGAGGTCATGAAGTAATTGATGTGGGATGTCGGCGTCGGGGTGTCCCGTGAGCTGCTGGGCGTCGAACTCCCAGGTGTCTCCGCAGTCGGAGAGTGCTGGTGGGAGGCGCCATTTGTTGGGCTCCAGAGGCTCCCAGTCGTGCTGCATGAGGTAGTGGATGATGGTAGACTGTGGCCCACGTATGTGTCGTACTCGTACATGCGGCGGCATGGTCTTGAAATTGGCGACGACGGTCTTCCAGGTGGCTTGGATAACACGTTGGGGGGGCCCTCCTTGTATCCAGGTGGTGAGCCATGCCTTGAGTGCGTCGTGTGGTAGTTTGCGGGCTGGGTCGTGGGCGCGTAGGTCGAGGAGGGTAGCGAGGCACCGTCCACGTAGGCGGGGTCCCACTGCGTCACCGACGCGTCGGCGGTAGGTGGTCATAGTCGTGCCGAATGCGCCGTAGACTTGGTGTCCGTAGGTGACTGCGGGCATCCCTCCTTGTACGGCGAGCTTAGATGAAATACGATACCGCCGTGTCGCACGTGTGAAGCGAAGTATCTTCTGGTGCATGGCGTCGTGCTTGCGGCGTCGCTGAGTGGTGGTGCGTCGTGCATGTCGTATACCGCAGCCGAGGTCGATGCCGAGGTAGCTGGCCTGGGTGTTGGCGCGGATGGGGAAACCCTTCCTTCTCATAGCATTCGCAATGTACCTGGCGTCGTCGTGGTGTGTGCAGACGATGACGCTCTTCTTAGCAACATGTAGGCCCTGGTCCTGGAGCGCCGTGCAAGTGTCGGCGAGGCAAGCCACCATGCGGCGTCGTAAAGCACGTCGGCTGGCTTGCAGGCGCTGCGACAGGTCATCGACCCAAATGCGATGCTGGAGGTCAGGGTAGTGATGGGTGATGCGCTGAAGTGCCTTGTAGGTCATGATCTTGGCGAACCGTGTGCCAGAACGTAGTCCCTGTACGACAGAGCGCGTGGGATGGAGTGCTTCCGCGTACGCACCGCTCTGCATGAGCGTGCGGGGGGCGGTGCACTGCAAGATCTCGAGTCCGAGGACTTCAGGTGGGAAGTTGAGGTCGAGCGCGTCGTCGATGAGGGTGACCCAGTGGATGGAGTCGTAGAACTGGGCAATGTCGAGCAGCCCGTGCGCCTGCGGGATGCGGAGGTAGGTCGAAAGCTCCTCGTGCAGGCACCTTTCGTACGCCTCGCGGAAAGCCGAGTTGCCCTTGGCTATGGCATCCCAGTGTGCAAAGTAATCTCGATTCCATCGTTGTACATGTTCTTCACGTGCCATGGACCACAATCGTGCAACCATCGTCATGAGGCCGAGAATGCGGTCGCCGTTGCCCTTCTTGGCCCGCATGACGCCGATGGTGTGCAGGAGTTGGTGTGGCCAGGCTTGGAGTCGTTCCGATGTTGTAAGTAGGTCGGCCAATTCCTGGAGCGCCTCTTGGGGAAGCCGCTGGAAATCGCCAGGTCGCAGGCGGTCGGCACCAAGCGCCGTGTTGGCCTTGAGGCGGGGGGCGGCCCGTCGGAGGTCGTCCGCGGTGAGCGTAGGGAGTGGGCACTCCTGGACGCGGTCGACGATGCGTTGGAAGGCGGCATCCAGGCTGTGGTAGTCGACGTCGTGGGGGGCCCACAGGTCGGTCCAGGTCTGGATCTTCTGGTCAATGAGCTCCTTGGGGTGCATGATGGTGCAGCCGTCGGACAGTGTAACCTCTGCTGGTTGTGGTTGGGGTCGTAGGGAGCGATGAAGTGTTCCCAGGGCCTCGGGCGTGGTTGCCCACTCGCTGAATGCACGGGCGGACTTGCGGATCGCCCGTTGTTGGGCTCGTTTGGCAAGTCGGTTGGCTCTGGTTGCGTGTGCCACGATGTAGCCGTCGTCGGCGAGCTCGATCTGCTGCAAGAAATGAATCCACTGATCCCAAGTGCGGTCGTCTTTGAGTGTGACGATGCTGGTTGCAGCTGGAGGTGGTGTGTCAGCGAGGCGCCGTAGGTCCCGATACAGCTGCTGGAGCTGCAGATGGCCGTTTCTGCGAGCTCGGTGTCTGTACGTATTCTGGAGTAGCGTGTGCACCCGCGTCCACCAGTTGCTCGAGAAGTCGGCAAGAGGCGCTCTCCTCTTGCACTGCAGCTCGCGGACAACCGTGGTCTGGTAGCTGGGTCCTGTGGCGCGGCTGGCGCCTGCGAAAGGTATCTGGTGGTGTGTGTGAAAGGTGGCCTCGACAGTCGCGGCCCAAGAGCCGTGGGTCCGCCCAAGCTGAAGGGTCAAATCAGGCTTGAGCCGAAAGGCTACGGAAGCAGTGGCCGCAGGGGCAGGCAGCGTGCAGCTGGCTGGCAGGGCGCTGATTTGTTCCCGATGGACGCTCCAGAGCAAACTAGGGATTTCGAAATCCACAGCGGTAGAACTAAACTCCCCAGATCCAGGGCACGGGCCATTAGAACCATGTTGGGGAAAATTCGTGGATTTGGGAAAACTGTCTGGCATGGTCTCCTCGGGTACGACAGGCACGTCAGGGGGGTTCTCACGCTGGGCTGGTGAAAAGGTCTCTGACTGTTGGGCTGAATCAACTGATGGGGCAACGGGAGCAGGGTCGCGGGCGGAGAGAGCAGCACACGGCCTGTCCTGGGCAGCGGGCATGTCTCTCGGGGCGACACCGCTATAAATATGAGTCAAAGAAGCATCGGCTGTGTATTCTCCGTGGGCCGAAAGCCGCGGATCACAAAGATGAGCGGATGGGGCAACGGAGAGGGGCGAATCAGGCGAGCCGAGCGAGCACTGTTTTGTCTCCTCGCGAGCGGGGTTCGAGACCGCAGACGGCACGGCTGGCCAAAAACTCGTCTCGTGCGCCCACGGGTCTTCCTCTTCGGAAAGGTGAGCTGAGTCGACGTCGTCGCCCTCGGATGTGGGGCTGTCGCCAGCACTGGTAGACTCGGCGTCGGCGTCTTGGCCTTCGCTGGTCCGTAAATCGGCAAAGAGAGTGGCATGGAGAGACTGTTTTCTCTCGATTGCCTTCTCCGTGTGGGCTGCTCGCTGGGCCCTGGCACGACTCGACTTAGATCCAGCAGTAGCAGCCTTGCGAGGGCGAGCGACGTGTGGCAAGCACCTCGGGAGCTGAAGGATACGCGTGAGCAATTGCTCGCCAGACTGGATGAGCTGGAGACGCAGTCCTATGTGGGGCTTCCACGGGACATCAAGCACTGGCGAGAGGCTGACCAGGTATGGGCGGGCAGCAACACTGTGAACGAGAAAGTCCAAATGCGATGGCTTACGGCCTCCACCTGGGTCGCATGTGTGTTCGACAGGGGCGCACATGATCTCTCCTTGGACCTGCGCAAGGAACCCCGACTGGTGAGTGCAGCAGGGCTGAGGTTCCAATCGGCTATGACGAACCAAGGAAGCTGAAGAGAGCGAAGGAGGCTCCCAAGCTTCCTAAAACGAGTTAAATTGGGTCCTCTCATGCCGACACTGCAGAACCCATAGAAAAGAACTGCTACGATGGAATAACCTCGGAGATGGAGGACAATGGGCAGGAAGCCATCGAGGGAGGAGTGAGGGAAAGACTGGAGGTCCTTGGACTGGACCGCCTCGAGGAGAGGGTGGGCATGGAGGTGCCCTCTAGGAAGGGGGGGAGGGGGAGGGGGAGGAGGAGGGGAGGAGAGGAGGAGGTGAGAGGAGGAGGAGGGAGGAGGAGGGAGGAGGAGGAGAGGAGGATCGAGCCGAGGGGGAGGAGGAAGAGGAAGGATGAGGAGGAGGAGGAGGAGGAGGAGGAGAGGAGATATTGAGGATATGGATGAGGATGGGAGGAGGAGGAGGAGGAGGAGGAGGAGGAGGTGGGAGGATGAGGAGGAGAGGAGGAGGAGGAGAGGGAGGAGGAGGAGGAGGAGGAGGAAGAAGAGGAGGAGGAGGAGGAGGAAGAAGAGGAGGAGGAGAAGGAGGAGGAGGAGGAGTAGGAGGCGGAGCAGGAGGAGGGGGAGGAGGAGAAGGAGGAGGATGGGGAGGGGTAGCTCGCGGTGAGCAAGGTTTCCTTCCGTGTTCGGCACCTGGGTCGCTCCCCGCCGCCGCAGCTGGACCCGCCCTGCAATCATGGTGAGAGCGGCCTCATCCGTCTCGCCCTTGTCTTCCTCCCGTCGGTCATGTCGTCCGCTGCTTCCCTTGCTGCTCTTGCTCTTCCCGAGGCACGAAAGTCCTTCGCTCTGGCGCGGGCGACCGCTGCATGCTGTGGGACCGAGGAGCTTTGCTTCGCTTCTGTCTTCAGGACAAGTCTGAGGAACGATGTTTCACCTCCCTCCCCAACCCTTTCGCGTCGCACAGAACTCACAACGGAAGGTCTTTGGTCAGTTTCGGCTTCTGGTTGGCCGTCATCAGTCCCCGAGACCGTCAAGAACGATTCGAAATAAACAGCCAGCCCAGGGGAAGGGATCGAGATGTCTTGGGGCCCACGATATGATTTTAAATCACGACATCGGGTTGGACCAATATCGAGTGAAGGAGAGGGCGTACACATGCAAAGTCTTCGCAGCTTGCTTGGGAGGGTTCCTGTTGGGAATGACGGATCGCGCATTGCCGTGAGGTGGGCGTGGCAGTGGCCATCACGGTGTGCGTCGCGCTGGCAGCCGTGGCGTTCGGCGTCTTCTTCACACTCTTCGTGCAAAAGCAGCGCGACGCGGTGAGGGAGGCGCACATCAGCAGGTCCAAGGGCTCAGAACGAGTTGCAAAACGGCTCAGCTCGTGAGCTGCGGACCCCCGATCGAGGCTGTCGTCATGGATCGGAGGCAGATGCCCGCGGGTGGCCGTGCTAGCCCAGCACTCTCGCAGGCAATGGTTCGAGGGGCGACTCGGGTTCGAGGGGCGACTCGGGGCGACTCGGGCGACACAGTCTCGGCCTGTGGGGTCCGAAGCATATTGTGGGCACCTTGCTCAGCGATGGAAGGCCTGGCGAATCACACCATCCCTGTAGCTGTGGTCAGGGCTGGACCTAAACGCTGTTTTGCTCGACTTCGGCTGTGGTTTGGTTTTCGTGTTGGCAGGGGGTAACAGGAAAACAGGTCGAGCAGAACGAAGAACACAGCGACAACATAACGAAAAACAACGTTCAGGCTCAGCGCCAGCTGTGGTCGCCATAATCCACGCCATCCCGCTATCCCCCCGATGCCTGGGTAGGGGTGTGCGCGATCCAGCATGGAGAGCACACGACGCCACTGGCCCAATCTGCCAGGAGTCATAGCCAAAAAATGCGAGTCGAGCAGCGCTACAGGTATAGAGCGATAAGTCGGGCACGTCCCTCTACAGGAGGAATGTTCCAAACTAGTCAAACAATGGTCTGTAGACGATGCATGTTTTTATTCTTCGTCCAAAATCCGCCTGCAGGAGGACACGCCCGACTTAAATATAGCGTGCGTTGACAATTGGAGCAACGGTCAGAATGCCAGCACCTGTCACACCTTGCCCTTGTTGCGTTCATCTTGGATCAGATAAGGTCGTCATGGGGCGGAGTAGGCGGGTGAAAGTAACGATGACGTGGATGGGGGGATAATGAGGAGGATGAGGAAGAGGAGGAGGAGGAACAAAAGCAGGAACGGGATCGCAGGGGACGGGAGTGATGTGGAACATCATGATTGTGATGCGGTTTCGGCAGGGTGCCGGCGAGCATCGATCATCCTTAGTTCAAGTGAGGACCAAACGGACCCGATAATTGGCCTTTCTTACACGGCCTTGGGCGTTTACTAAATAGCCCTGCCCTGTTCGATTCTTTCTTTGGGGGCGTTTACTAAACTGCCTCGCTTCTCGGGGTGGCTATTATGGGGGCGGATTTGTTGCCCTCTATTAGTAGAGGCCTGGTCCAGCCCGCTTCATCGCGAGAAAACAAACTGACAGTCTAAAGGAAGCGCCTCTCTCGAAATGCCCCAGCGGCCAGAGCACGACGTCACGCAAGTGCCTTCGCCCCTGGTGGCCTTCCGTTGGGGTGTCCGGGAAGTGCCGTGCCTGCTGCATAGCGGTGGTCGTGGGTGCGCGAGCAGGGGGGAGCAGTGAGGATGCTCAGGTGGTCGTTTTATTATTCATTGTTTTGCCGATAGGCGCGGGCCCTGGCAACCCCCCCCTCCCCCCCCCATGGAGTGGATCTTGGCTGTTTTGTTGGCGCCTGTTTCGAGCGGGTGCAGTCTCCCCCAGAGGACGCACGGTTCCAAACAGCCGCATGAAGCAGAGGTCCTGAGCCAGACCCCCCTCTCCCCTCCCGTTGCCGTCCAATGTCGAAACGCCGAATAAAAACAGCGCTCACTAGAATCAGTCGAGTTCCTGTTTTTTTTCCTGTGGCCACAATGTGTGTGTTTTGGTATCTTTGGGTGCTGAGCCTCCTTGTGGCCTGTTCCCCTGGGACCTGATTGGGCCCCCGCCTTGGAAGCGTCACCCGCATGGCAGTTGCGAGCTTGACTCGTGCCTTCGAGGACGACCGAACCGAACCTCCTCCCCCTGCTCCTCCTCCTCGTCTCTTCCTCCTATGCTACCTGCGCTCCTTCTTCTCATCCGCCTTCCCTTCTTTCTTAGGCGGCGCCAGAGGTGCCCCGAGCGTCCCAGGAGGGCGCAACAACATGCAAAGATGCACCAACTGCCCCCCCCCGAAGTCCTGCACGCGCCCCCAAGAAGCCTCCTGGGGTCTCCCACGAGGACGTCTCCCAGAGATCGCTTCCACGATGGGCCTCCAAGGGGCAAATCACATTGATGTACATCAGGTGTTGCGGTGTTGCAAACTGGGGCCCCCCCTCCGTTTGCCTGCTCGAGCGGGCCGGTTGATCTCACGGGGGGCGGGCCTCGGTCCGCTCGAACGGCCCACTGGAGCGCCCCCGTGCGGGCGCAGCTCGCTCTTGGATGCCCCGCCCCGCTCGGGAGAACGAAGGGGCGCTCCCCTCCGACGCCCCGTGCGAGCGATCTTGGGGGGGGGGACGCTTCGCCCGAGCGCCACCGTATGAGCGAGCGGCCCCTCCACGAGGAGCCCCAGGAGAGAAGGCCGACCGAAGAGCACGAGGGCGCAGAGGAGGGGGGTGGGGCCCAGCATGGGGGGCGCGGAGGAGGGCGCGGAGGGGGGGGAGGGCCCCAGCTGCAGGGCGCGGAGGAGGAGGGCGCGGAGGAACATGGCGGGGAGGAGGAGGGCGGGGAGGAGGAGGCGGGGGGAGGAAGGATGAGGAGGAGGAGGGAGTAGGATGAGGAGGAGGAGGAGAGGAGGAGGAGGAGGAGGAGAGGAGGGGGAAAGAGGAGGAGGAGGAGGAGGAGGAGGAGGAGGAGGGAGCCCGCGCGCTTACTCTTAAAGCCGCTGGCCCCAGTGCGGGCCAGCCCGCGTGGAGTCCTCCCGCGGCCACGGGCGCGCTCGGGGGCCCCAGGGCGCCAGGGGATCGGAGGGCACGGAAGGGGGCCCCAGCTCGCTCGAGCGCCACCGTCCGGGCCTGCGGAGGGGGATCGGGCGGAGCTAGGACGAGAAATCCGTTCCAGACCGTTCCGGGACGCTCTCCGAAGGCCGCGGCGCTCGAGGCATCCTCCAGAGCCGCCAGATTTCAGAGGTCCTCGAATTGTCCCCACCCGAAATGCATCCTCGTCCTGGCTTCGTTCGTCTTGGGAGAGGGAGAGCCCCCAGGAAGGAGGAGTGAGGAGGAGTGAGGAGGAGGAGGAGGAGGAGGAGGAGGAGGAGGAGGGAGGAGGGGTGAGGAGGCGGGAGGGAATGAGGAGGAGGAGGAGGGAGGAGGAGGAGGAGGAGGAGTGAGGAGTGAGGAGAGAGGAGAGGAGGAGGAGTAGGGGAGGAAGAGGAGAAGGAGGAGGAGGAGGAGGAGGACGGAGGAGGAGAAGGAGGAGGAGGAGGAGGAGGAGGAGGAGGAGGGCGGGTAGCGGCAGAGGGAGAGGCCACAGGGAGCAGGGCGACGACGACGACGACGACGACGAAGACGACGACGAAGACGAAGACGAAGACGATGACGACGAGGGAGCCCCAGCTCGCTGGAGCGCCCCCGTCCGCGCCCAGGGGAGGAAGATGAGCCCTGGGGAGGAGGGTAAAGAGGACGAGGGCGAAGAGCGGCAGATGGAGAGGAGGCCGAGCGGCGTCGAGGGAGAGAGGCCCCGGGGAGGAGGGCGAGGAGCGGCGAGGAGCGGAGAGGAGAGCGAGGAGAGAGGCCCCAGGAGGGAGGGCGAGGAGCGGCGAGGGGAGGTGACCTCCCCCCTCCCTTGGCATAGCTCGCGGACTCGTGCACTCTTTGCCGGCGAGGACCATCGAGGAGCTTCCTGGGTCGCCTGGCAAGAACAGCACGCACGAGACAAGAGAACGCACGGGGGATGGCCGCCCGAGCGATGGCGAGCTCGTCCCTCCACACCTTAGCGGGCCCTGGAAACGACAGGGCCGTTTTTGCTACCAGTTCCGCTTTGCCGTGTTTTTTTTGCCGGTTCCGACGCCGTTTTTTGTACCGGCTCCGTCGCCGTTTTTTGACCGGTTCCGGCTCCCGTACCAATCCTGGAGCCGTTTTTGTTGCCGTTTCCGGTCGCCGTTTTTTTGCCGCTTCCAGTTTTCAGGGGCACTTTTTTGGAAACGGTGAAAAACGGCCCTGCCGTTTCCGGGGCCCACAAAGCTCCACACACCCCTTGGGAGAGCTCCCCCGGTGGCGTCCGAGGGGCCCCGCGCTCTCGCCGGTCGCGCGGCCCGCCCGCGGGGGGCCCGCGCGCG